CTCTACTTTGACCTCGAGCTCTGCCTCTGCCTCGACCTCGTCCTCTACCTCCATTTCTGCCTCCCCCTCGCCTGCTGGTTTCTGAGACGAGAGCATAAGACTGATCAGTCCCAGCTTCCTTCCTTCGTGCTTCCTCATTCATCAAGGCGTCCGTGACCATCTGCATAGTCACGGTACCATTTGGGGCAGAATTACTGAGAGTAACAACAAGAGTCTCCCAATTATCAGGTAGAGAGCTAAGCAAAAGTATTGCTTGTTCTTCATCTTTGAGGACCCATCCGGTGGTGCTCAATTGGTTCACAAGATCCTGGAACTGGCTCGTGTGTTCCGACACAGAAATGCCACCACGTAACTTGTGGTTCACTAATCGTCTCATCAGCAGCGTTTTATTCCGAGCAGTTTTTGCTTGGTACATGCTACTAAGTTTCTCCCATAGTGTGTGAGCACTTTGCTCTTGAGAAACATGATGGAACACGCTATGATCAATCCACTGTCGGATTTGTGCGACAGTTTTTCTGTTCATCTTAGCCCATTCTTCATCCGTCTTTTTATCTGGTTTGACGCCATTATTATCAAGAGGATCTGCTAAATCTTTCAAATTTAACAAATCCTCCATCCGTGGTTTCCACATGTTGTAATTTGTGGAAGTGAGCGCAATCATTGCATCCGAAGATGACTTTTCCATGATAAAAATGTACACTTATTCCCGTACCTCAATTTGGAAGCTGAATTAGGCCAAACGGAGCACACCGTTGAATCCGGAATGGCCGAAAATGGTGGGAACCGGTCTCACCTCTTCAAGAACCGGCCGGGAAGAGCGTGAACCGGAGTATTGAACCACAAGCCGAACCGGACCGGTTCTGGCCCAAACCAGTGGGCAGCCAACCAGGCTGATGACGTGGCACCACCTGGGCAGTGACGTGTTGCTGAGGTGGCAGATGACGTGGCAGATGACGTGGCACAGCTGGTGGTCCAATAGGTCGCCGTCGGTGACGTGGCGGATGATTGGGCGCTGATGTGGCGATGACGTGGCGATGACGTGGCGTGCTGACTGGTCGTCTTCTCCGGCGAGTCTGCTGGCGGACTGCAGTATTGCAGCGGCAATAATTGGCAGGAGAGAGAAACTTTGACCGGGCGTTTGGAGGCCTTCCGGTGGTCAAAAAATTCCGAAAAATATATTTTTGGAATCCTCAGAACGAGAGCTTTCTAATGGTGGCCTCAAAACAAGATTCTGGAACAAAAAAATTTTGACCAAAAATTCGGGCAGAATGAAGAAATCTGGGTTTCTGGATTAAACTGGCTCTGATACCACTTGTTAGGATTGGAAAATTCTTCTATTCATAACCAGAACAGAATTACAATAGGAGGAGCAACTCTCTCACTCAACTATTACAAAAAACCAACCCTCTCATATACTCACACTCTATGTATATTGCTCTCACTCTTTCACTCCGAATTTTTGATGCATTTGATCAAGCTAGAACCACCCTATTTATAGGGAAATGCTGGGAGACAATTGCATGCAGCCCATATAGCATCCCATGCCTTCCCATGCCTTCCCATGCCTTCCCATACCTTTTAATTGATGGAGGATGGAGCTTCATGCCATGGAGTGGGTGTGTGTATGGGAGCTGCAGCAATCCTACAGCGTTTTCAATTAATATTTTTATTTTCGAATACTTATTAAATAATTAATGAATAAAGTAAAAATTGGGGAGGTATGTTGGTTTTTTCATTTTTGACTTTTTCACATCAAAATATCAATTCAAAAAGCTGCGCTGTTGAGTGAAAATACCATTTACGGATTTTCCCATCATTTACGGCTTTTCCCATAAAAAAGCCGAATTAATAAAATTGAGTCGTATATACGTATGTTTGCCGTACTCAATTACGCAAGCGAAAAATGCCCTACGGAGTCTCTTAAATTCCAGTGCTATAAATACCATGCACGTCGATCTCATGTAATTTGCATAGCTGTCTAGCTTCCTAGCAAAGTAGCAACTAGCAAGGAATACGTACTCAATCATTTGTACGTCAACATTATAGATAGTACGTAGTATATATTTCCGCTAGCCCATAAGTAAGTTTCCCTGTTATCATGTAATGTTTTCATCGATCTTAGCTTAGCTGAATTCCTATCTTGCTCCTCGCTAACAAATGGCAAAAAAAAAAAAAAAAAACTACCTAGAAAATGAATTTTTTCATTGATACTCCATGATATATCCACTCATCATCAGCTATGTAGTCGAGTTAATTAGTACAGTTCATTAAGAAAGTTACAATTGCACCCACGGATGGGAATATATTGAAGTTAAAGTTTTTTGGGAGGAAGACTTAAATAGGATCAAAAGTAATGGTTGGAACTTAAATAGGATTCTCTAGTTTTTAATACCTAAATAGCACTAATTTTGGACAGAAGGACAAAAGTGCCCTCAGTACTATTATAGTTGTGGGATCGGGATTCTCTGCCTGGCTTTGAATTGGCAGGGTGCATGTAGTATAGTTTTTGAATTCACTCTCTCTCCTCCAGCAGCTCTCTTCTTCTTTGTTGCTTGCCGTTGGATTGCCACAAGGCACTTCTACCGTGCGGCAGAGGATCCAAATCCATAGCAGCGACCGACACGAACATTCATTATATTCATGTTTTGCCATCAAAGAAGGCCACTGGAGAACGGCTGCAGTAATCCCTCTCGTTGGAGATATGCAGATTTCACTTCGCTCTGCCGCAGCTCATCGCCGGAGTGGCCTGCCGCTGGTTGGCAAAGTAGTCTCCGGGGTCTATTCTTTTCATTCACCATCTCGGCTATTTTCTTCCTCCGATCTCCTTTCAATTTTTGCCCGCATAAAATTTGTTTCCGTCGATTTTACTGCCGGCTCTGTTCTTTTCTTCTTTTCTTTCACTGATCTCCTTTCAATTTTTGCCGGCTTTAAAATATTATTTCCGTCCATTTTGCCGGCCTGTACTCTAGATCTGTTTCCTTTTGTTTCAGTCAAACTTGTTGCAACGTTTCTTCTGTTCTTCTTCTTTTCTTCCGCCGATGTTTCAGTTTTTGCGGGCTTGGAATTGTGTTTTCCATCTTTTTTGCTAATCGATTCCTTTACTTTTGTTTCCGATCCGTCAAACTTCTTGCAGTACAGTGCTTCTTATTTTAATTTATTGTGTGTTTAATTTGTATATTAATTTATTTATTAATTATTATTTGTTTAATTCATTTTTGTCATTTACTACCCTTATATTGTCATTTACTAACATTTTAATTATTGAAAACATGAAAAAATCATTGATGATAAGAGAATTAATCTTACTACATCGTGATTCAATACTAATAACATTGTTTTTATTACTTTAATTTTTTTTTCGGGGTTTATTGCTAGATTTTGGAAAATGACATCAAATTAATTGTCAAAAGTATGTCACGTCTTAAAAATTATCACTTTTTACAATACATTTTCATTATAAACATTATCAAAATAAACAATGTCATGATATTTTAAACATTGTCAATGACTGTCATAATATACATACATTATTGTCATTGTTAAAAATGTTACAATGTCAAATAATGGTAAATACAACATTAATGCGATAAAAATGACATTGTAATAATGTTAATGACAATGCTACAAAAAGTAACAAGACATTGTAATAAAAAATATCAAAAATGCAATCCTATAAAAGTTACATTGCTTTTGTAGAAAAACACATTGTTGACAATGTATTTTGATATAAGAAAAATGTAACAATGTCAAATAACGATAATCACAATGTCAACACCAACTTTTAATTTTTTTCCCTGACTTCTGTTTTAGTCTTAATGACAATGCTATAAAAAGTAACATGACATTGTAATAAAAAATATCAAAAATGCAATCCTATAAAAGTTACATTGCTTTTGTAGAAAAACACATTGTTGACAATGTATTTTGATATAAGAAAAATGTAACAATGTCAAATAACGATAATCACAATGTCAACAACAACTTTTTTTTCCCTGACTTCTGTTTTAGTCTTAATGACAATGCTATAAAAAGTAACAAGACATTGTAATAAAAAATATCAAAAATGCAATCCTATAAAAGTTACATTGCTTTTGTAGAAAAACACATTGTTGACAATGTATTTTGATATAAGAAAAATGTAACAATGTCAAATAACGATAATCACAATGTCAACACCAACTTTTTTTTCCCTGACTTCTGTTTTAGTCTTAATGACAATGCTACAAAAAGTAACAAGACATTGTAATAAAAAATATCAAAAATGCAATCCTATAAAAGTTACATTGCTTTTGTAGAAAAACACATTGTTGACAATGTATTTTGATATAAGAAAAATGTAACAATGTCAAATAACGATAATGACAATATCAACACCAACACTCTAAAAAAATGGCACTGTAAAAATGACAATATTAATGATTTAAATATTGACATTGTAATAATGACAATGTCAACACCAACACTCTGAAAAATGGCATTGTATAAATGACAATGAAAATGCTTTAATATTGACATTGTAATAATGACAATGTCAATTTCAATGTTAAAAATGACATTGTAAGACTGTCAAGTGACATTGTTTTCGATGATGACATTGAGATATATGACAATGTAATATTATTGTAAAAATTTGCTCCAAAGTTTTATCATAAGTGGGTCAAAATTTAAATTTTTTGCATATTTTTTTCATAGATCATACCCAAACATTTACGCATGCATATATCATATATGCACACTAGATTTAGATTTAGATTTAGATTGTTAACTACATACTCTCCGTATCGTCATTCAATTAAGGCTAAATGAGTGGCTAGCTAACAAGGCTTGTCTTGCTTCCGCTTTTTAGTTAGATACGAGCATATACCTTCACCAACTATATATACATGTAGAAATCTTTTCGTACGTATGTAGGTGGGAGAAGCTGATCAGCTAGAGAATGGAGATGGAACAGAAGTTGGAGTGGGACGAGGCACAAAAAATTGTGGTAAGCCTAGACCTTGTGGCTGTAGCCAAGCAACAACTCTATTTTCTGGGCGTCATTGACCGGAACCGTTGGCTGTATGAAAGCCCCGGTCTTGATAAGGCCATCACTAGGTATGTTTATATATATTCCGTATAAATTGAGGAAGCGGTCTAACTCAGCTGGTCGTCGACTCATTCTCCCTTATGGGAGGTCCCGGGTTCAATTCTCAATAGATTGAGATTATTGATCCCAGTTTACCCCAGGCTCCCCAACCCCTGACTCCCCTAGGGTCAAAAAAACCCGTTTAAATTTATGCTTCTACTTCTATAAAGAGGGCTCTATTTTATGAGATAGAATCATCTCCACGTACTTTTTATATATGAAGCCTGTTGGAGGTATTGGTCCTACCAAGGCTTCCCTTCCACTTATTTGTGTTAAGGCCTGCACCCTATGTTTACTCCTATTTCCTACACTCTTACTGATCTAGCTAGCCTGGCATTTCCTATCCGCTGCCAACTCTTATTGACTTGGTATTATTTGTCTCTTGGCCTCCTGACTTTTGCTAGCCTGTCTCGAGCCCCACTTTTGTTTGTCTTTGACACCCATGAGCAAATAATAGCCTACTATAATTGAGTGCTTCTCTTCCCTTTTTGAGAGATACGGTGAGTTCAATACAGTGAGCTCCTCTTCCTTCCTTTGTGTGGAGTTAGAGTGTGAGGGAGTGGTAAACAAGGTGAGTGGAGTGGCTAAACAATCCTGGGTGGTGTGTGTGAGTTGTTTTGGTTGGAGACCTGAGCTGAAATACACACCCAACAGTGGTATCAGAGCCTGGTTGCCGTCTGCCGCCGTACTCCGCCGCCGTCCGCCGCCGTCCGCTGCCGTCCGCCGTCGGAAAGGGCTCGTCGCAGGTCCCTGAAGCTTTGTCTGACCTGGAAGCTGCTGGAGCTCGTCAATCGGAGAATCGTCACCGTCGTTAGTGGTTGCTATTTCTCGTTCGCCGTTCGCAGGAGCTAGGTGCTTCGTCCACCATCGAAGCTAGCTGTATTCCGCGTGGGAGTCGCTGACCAGGAGGTGGACTCTCGCCGCTTTCCACCACAGGACACCAGCCGTCACAGGGAGGTCTTCGATCGCCGATTTGTTCGCCGATGAAGTTGTCACCCGAAAGCCGCCATCCACAGTCGCAAGAGCTCGCCCAAACCTGTTCTTCGAATTCCGCAGGGAGACGATTTGAGGAGCTCGGAAGCTGATGCAGAGGACCGGATCTGGAAGCATTGGCCCGAACCAACGCAGGTCTGGAGCAGGGCTGTGAAGCTGGACGCGTGGTGTTCGTCGCTGAGCTGCTGAGGTCGGCCGTACGTCGCTGGAGGCTGAGACAGTGAAACTCGGTAGCTTCCGATCTCCGTTCGAATCTTGCGCAGAAGCTTTCTCGCGTACAAAGGACGCAGAGAACATTTTACCTGGACTGTTCATTGGAAGCTTGAGACTTGAACTTTTGGGCTGGTCAAAGGTGGATGCGTGGGGCTACTTGGCTGCTGGTTTGCTGGGCTTGGTTTTGGGCTGGATTGCTGGATCTTGGAGCTGGACCTGGAGGCTTGACGTTGAGGCACAGTAGGTGACTTTACGTGAAGTTGCTGGTGCAGAATAGAGGAGCTCTTGCCCCTTGGTGGACTTGGTCAAATCGGTCAAAGCCAGTCAAAGGCAGTCAACGCCGTCCGAAAAATCCCAATTTTTTAAATTGGGTGGGTAAGGTCGAAACGCCTCTCCTAGGGTTTCGCTCCGGTATATTGACTTTTATCCTTTTTTATCGCTTTTGTAGTGATTTAATCTTTTATTGTGTAGAAATTATGTTTTAGGTTTATTACTGCTTTTAAAATTGATTGAATTGTTGTATTGTGTTTGTGCTAAAAATTTATTATTTATTTGTGCTTATACGGAAGAACAAGGGGTTTGAAGTTGAGTTTGGTGCTCATTAATACTCCCCGCGTGTTCGTGCTAGTTGCTCCGTATATTTGTAGCCTTATAAATATTTAAATTGTTTTTAGCGAAAATTTACAGTTTATTTTGTTGCTTATTTTTCCTCTGTGAAAATGTCTGCTTATAATCAGTATGGTATGGCTCCATTTAATGGAAAATCTGATTTTAGCATTTGGAAGCAAAAAATTAAATGTATTTTAATACAACAAAAATGTTTTAAAGCAGTTGGTGAAACCTATTTAATTTCTGACACAGAAGATAAAAGGGCTGAAATGAATGAAAATGCATGTTCTGTGATTTATTTGAACTTATCTGACTCTGTGATTAGAAAAGTTGGAATTTTAGAGAGTGCTAAAATTCTGTGGGATAAATTGAATGAACTGTATACTGAGACCTCTTTGCCTAACCGGATATTTTTACTTGAAAAGTTCTTCAAATTTAGACTAGATATGTCTATAGATATTGAAGAAAATCTAGATGTTTTTACCAAACTTATTTCGGATATTAAGTTGTGTGGTGATAAGCATATAGATGATTATTCCCCTATTGCTCTTTTAAATGCTATTCCTGATTCCTTTGGTGATGTGAAATCTGCTATCAAGTATGGTAGAGATAATGTGACTCTTGACATTGTGATAAATGGTCTTAAGAGTAAGGAATTAGATTTAAAACAGATAGGTGAGGGTAGAAAATCCGAGGAAGTTATGCATGTGAGGGGTAGAGAAAATAATAGTAGACGACATAGATCTAAGTCTAGGTCTAATTCGAGGCGTTGCTATTATTGTCACGAATCTGGTCATTTCATAAGAGACTGTCCTAAACCTAAGAAAAATGAGCATAGTGAGCATGCTAATTTGACTACGTGCGTAGATGATTTAGGTGATGTGCTTATGATGAAAAATCTATGTGATTATGACTATTTGAGTTCTGTGATATCTGATTCCTTGGGTAAATCAGATTGGGTGGTAGATTCTGGTTGTAGTTTTCACATGTCCCCTATGAAAAATGTTTTTTCAAACTATAGAGAGATTGAGCATGGCTTTGTGTCTTTAGCAAATAAGAAGAAATGCAATGTGCTAGGAATAGGAGATGTATGCCTTAGGTTTTCTTCTGGTTATGTGCTTACTTTGAAGAATGTTAGGCATGTTCCTGAGCTGTGCTGTAATTTGCTATCTTGTGCTTCTCTTGAAAATGTGGGTTTGAAGGGAAAATGGGGAAAGGGAATCATGAAAGTTGTGAAGGGTTGTTTAGTTGTTTTCAAAGCTGAGATGAAGAACAACTTGTATGTTTGTCATGCTGAACCCGTACTTGATTCTGTGAATTGTGTGCAACCCTGTGTGCTAGGAAAACAGTCTAGAGTTGGTTTTCCTGATCTGCCTAAGTGTACTAATGTGCTTGATTGTATTCATGCTGACTTGTGGGGTCCTTATAGTGTTTCCACTCATGGTGGGAAAAATTATTTTCTGACGTTGATTGATGATTTTTCAAAGAAAGTGTGGGTTTTGTTGATTGAGAATAAATCTGAAGTTTTTGATAAGTTTAAAAACTGGAAAACCCTTGTTGAAAAACAAACCGGTAAGAAAATTAATTTTTTAAGGACCACAGTCAGTTTTGATTTATGTGATAGTCAGCTTGATGATTTATGTGATACTTGGGGTATTGTTATGCATAAATCTGTTCCCTCCACACCCCAACCGGATGGGGTTGCTGAGAGGATGGTTAGAACTTTATTAGAGAGGGTGAGGGCTATGTTAGCTTCATCTGGGCTCTCTAATAAGTTCTGGGGGGAAGCTATTTGTTATGCTGTTGATTTGGTTAATCTGTCCCCGTCTGTTCCCTTAGGAGGAAAATGCCCTGAATCTGTGTTCATGGGCAAACCACTTGACTTGCCAAATTTGAGAGTGTTTGGTTGTGCTGCTTATGTGAATCGTCTGAATGATAAATTTGAACCTAGGACTAAGGAATATGTTTTCTTAGGATATCATGATTGCATGAAAGGTTATAGGCTTTGGTGTAGGAGTGAAACTTGCTTCAATGTGTTGATGAGTAGAAATGCCATTTTTGATGAAAATGAATTTCCTTGCCTGCTTGTTTCTCTTAATGTTGCTCCAAATAAGGTGGAGCATTTGCCTGTTGAAGTTCATTCCGATTTACTTGTTGAAACCAAACCCAAATTTGTGAATGAAAATGTTTTTCATGTTGAAAATAAAGAAAATAATATTTCTATTAAGGTGGAGCATGATATGAATGTTGTGTGCAATATGCTTGAGTTGCGTGATTGCCATGTTATTAGAGATAGAGACATTAGGAAGCATGTGAGAAATAATATGTGCAATGTGTTTGACTATATTTCCTCTGAATTTGCTTTAAATGTGCTTAATTCTCTATTAATTAAAATCTTTGTGATATTTGGTATGCTATTTTCTTTGTGTTTTGAAAATGTGATACCAAGTGATTATGTGAGCTCTACCTGTGCTAGTTATAGAAATAATATTATTTCTTTTATTTTCTGTGTACTTGCTTTGTGTGGTTGTTGGATTAGTTGGAATCCCCAACTTTTCCCGGATGCTTGCCTGCGTGGTCTATTAACATATCTTGTGTTTGTTAATAGCATTGTGATGGTTTTGGTTCTGAACTCGAGGACCGATTGGTAGAGTTCAGTCCATCGTGAAGTGGGTTTGCACGGTAAGCTTGGTCCGAAAGGGAACTTTGGTTCTCATCTATTACTTGTATGATCGCAATGATGTACTTGTAATGGTTCAGCGATGATGAGTCTCCTCACAACCGTGTATTTGTTACTCTACACCACCTAGGACCAATAAGGTGGAGAATGTTGGAGGTATTGGTCCTACCAAGGCTTCCCTTCCACTTATTTGTGTTAAGGCCTGCACCCTATGTTTACTCCTATTTCCTACACTCTTACTGATCTAGCTAGCCTGGCATTTCCTATCCGCTGCCAACTCTTATTGACTTGGTATTATTTGTCTCTTGGCCTCCTGACTTTTGCTAGCCTGTCTCGAGCCCCACTTTTGTTTGTCTTTGACACCCATGAGCAAATAATAGCCTACTATAATTGAGTGCTTCTCTTCCCTTTTTGAGAGATACGGTGAGTTCAATACAGTGAGCTCCTCTTCCTTCCTTTGTGTGGAGTTAGAGTGTGAGGGAGTGGTAAACAAGGTGAGTGGAGTGGCTAAACAATCCTGGGTGGTGTGTGTGAGTTGTTTTGGTTGGAGACCTGAGCTGAAATACACACCCAACAAAGCCAATATCCTTCTTGTGAGTATTGAGTATGTAAGAGCATGTTGATGTTTCGTTATTATTAGTTAGTTACTTGGATTTGTTCTTCATAGTCAAATCTACAAGTAAAAATTAAAAGTTGATACACCTTATTAACTTGTAGCATGCTGATTTCAGATACAAGTCTTATTGGCTTCCATTGCTAGCAAAGCATTCTGAATCTCCCTTCTTTGAAGGCCCCCTGATTGTTCCTCTTGATTGTGAATGGGTCTGGCATTGCCACAGGCTCAATCCAGTATGTTTCTAGTCGTATAATTTATTCGCAACAAACATTGATTTTCGGATTGACACATTAAGAGCCCGTTTGGTAACACCAAAATTGGCTGAATTGACTGATTTTGCTTAAACACCGGAAAGCTACAAAACAATTAAACACTATATAAGACTTTGGGCTACTCCTCCTATCAGGTTGACCTTTTAGGATGGAACCCCGTGTCTTAACATGATATCAGAGCCAATTCCAGTTGTGGTTTGACGGCTTGTTTAGCACCCATGATTAAGGGTAGCTTGTTAAGGGTTTGTTTGGCCCGTTTATACACCCCAATATTGTTCAGCCCGGTTCGGGCTGAGGGGGCGTGTTGAAGCATTTGTCCCATATCGGAAAGCTACAAAACAATTAAACACTATATAAGACTTTGGGCTACTCCTCCTATCAGGTTGACCTTTTAGGATGGAACCCCGTGTCTTAACAGGTTGATTCTGCCGATTCATGAAAAAATTATTTTTAAAATATTTGTTATTAATATATAAAATAAAAAATCATATGAAAAATGGCTAAAATGTTTCTCTACAGTAACTTCAGCCAATATAGTCAGAAAAGTAACTTCAACCTTACTTTTTCTGCTTATTACACAATTCAGCGCGCGAAATAAAAAATTACGTGTTTGGTGAAAAAACTGGCGGATAAGCCTAATAATCCGAAGAAAGGGGTCACGCAAACTGTCTCTAAATTGTCTTATACGTATGAAATTTGATATAAATTAATTGTTCTTACTTTACTTTATGCCTACTGGCTACATACTTGCTTCAATACCAACCAGTGAATCACATAAACTTATATTTTTTCTAATAAAAAAATACCCCTCAGTCCCATTTAAAGGTTCCCGTGACAAAGTGACACAATTATTTAAACAATGATTAAATATGCTAATTCGAGTGTATTTTGAGAAATAATTTTAATAAGTATATAATACGTAGTATAATGGATTATTGATGATAACTGTGATTTTATTAATGTATTTTTTTTTAGTATTTGATGATTAAATTTTCATTTAAGAGTTTTAATTATTTAATAAAATAGAAAGTGAGAACATTTAAGTGGGACGGAGGAGTATATAACAATCACATTTTACTAAACAATACGGAGTATTTTTATCTTATGTGTTAATGAAGAAAAGTATAATAAATTTTTAAATTTCTGGCTGAACAAGAAAATTTGAGTTTTGCCGTACACATATTTTTAAGAATTTTCTTTATCTTGATTATTAATAAAATACCATTTGAATAAGGATTATTGTCTTATTTTATCCCAAGCTATCATCAAATTCACAAGTATATCCTATTCTTTAACTTTTATCAAAAAAAAAAAAGACTCAAACTTCATCTTTTTCAACAATTATGCTTTTCTTTTTTGTTTTTTCAAAATTACACATTTTTATCACTACCAATTAGATATAAGCAATAAAATTTGTAAATTTGAAATAAGAAAAAAAGTGAAAAATATGAAATATGAATATGATTTTCTTCTTATTTTTTACTAGTTCATCCATTGAAAGTGTAATTGTGAGAAAAGTTGAAGTTTAAGTCTTTTTTTAATAAAAGTGAAAGTATGTAATAGATTTGTGAATTTGATAATAGTTGGAGATATATTTAACTAATAATCCTTTGAATAACACTACTGTTTCACAACCATTCAGATTCAATGAATTCAACTATTTTAGACACAACTTTATAATAACGGTCAATTTTATTATGGCGACAACTCCGGTACCCTTTTAAAAATTGGGGTACCGTACCTACCATGCATTTGATTGGTCCAAATCATTCTATTTCTTTTAATTTAGATTTAATTAATTCAACTGCATCATTCCTATTGGTCTATGTGAACAAAGGTATGATACCTTAAGGGTACCATAGAATCTACCTTTTATTATTACCAAAATGAATTCTCATTTATTTAATTTTAAGTTAACTAACCATTATTTATTACTTTTCCTTATTAAATGCGTATTGCCACTAATTTGCACATTTAATTTGCAGCTACGGTACATCTCCGACTGCAAGATGCTTTATGGAACTATTCTTGATAACTATCATGTGGCCTCTTCTACTAAAGGAATGTCTAAGGGGGAAACAGAAAAAGTGTGGAAACAATTATATCCCAGTGAACCGTTTGAGTTGGAGATAGGAAGAGCTCTTTCTTGCCATGAACCTTCACAAACATCTGCTCAGCACATAAAGTGCATGAGCAACGACTATGACTTGGTTTCAGCGGTGAAGAGGCAAAGCTCATTTTTCATGAAGGTGAGGACACTTTTGGATAAACAACTGCTCCAAATAAGAGTAAAACATAGAAAACGGGCACAATAGAAGTACCTATGTTTTACTCTCAAGATAAAATTTATTTAGGCCGGTTCTATGAAAACTTGAAAAGTATAAAACTTCCTTAACGAGAATTAGATGAATCCTTTTATAGGATGAAAACATATGTACTCCTAGGTGTTCGACAATTCGGTTGACAATTCGGGTTTTCTCACTTTTGGTTCAATTTCGATTTACTCGGTTCCAAAGATCGATATTGTACCAAAATAAAACCATACTCCTTGTATTTATGTGTATATGCACATTTGTTACATTACAATCAATCATTCGTCCATGTAGGTATCAAGACCTCTAATTTACAATGAACTTTACCTTAAAGGGGCCGTGGATAGATACAAAGGATTCTTGCATCTAATCAAACGAAATGAAGAAAACTTTTGTTGTGTACCAACTCGTGACATTGATCTGATATGGCACACTCATCAGTTACATCCTGTTTCCTATTGCAAAGACCTTATGAAACTACTTGGCAAGGTTGCGGGTCACAATGGCAGAGTAGAACATAGTAAATTGCAAATAGGGTTCTCTACGACCACAAAGCTTTGGGAACGGACATATGGTCGTAGATATTATAGAGATGCTAAGATGTACCGACGCAACTCAATGTTACCTCTTGAAGATTATCATGACCACCTCTCTCACCATTACACTACAGTAAACAAAAAAATCAGCACTACAGATATAGGATTGTTACGTCTTCCCGAAACTGGGGAGGTTCTGGAGGTATAACGTAATAAAGCACTATATAAGTTCACCTCTAGCCTTAACATGTCACTCTTTTTTGACATTTTATGCTTGGGACTTATAGGTATTTAAATTTAAAAACGTATACATTGTAGGTAATGTTGGAGTCTATTGGTTTAAAGAATGTACCAGAGGAGGAGGAGGGGAGGAAGTTGTTTGTAGCATTCAGTAAAGAAGGGTCAGATCGAGTCTTCCATGCAAAGGGAAGACTTGACATTCCATCGCCATCGCCGATGACAACTATGAGCAATGGTGGGGAATATCTAGTAACTTGCTTCCAATGTGAACCTAGTGGGAATTTGATCTTTGAACTTATGAGCGAACCATGGAGCTCTAGCAATAATACTCTCCCACTATCTCATGAACCTCTTCATGTGAAGAAGACTATGGGTTCCTTTTCTGTCTCTTTAGGAGAGTTGTTATCAGCAGCAATGTCTTCTTCTTCTAATAATAATAATAATAAGCTTGTGACTATGGAGAAATGGTTTCAAATAGCAGTAGTTACTGCAGATTCAAATAGTTCTATGATCTCAAAGCCCATCTTTTTGGGAATTTCAATCTCAGTTTCCATGCCAACTAAGACACCATATGTGCTTCACATGATTCCGGCTTCTCCACGACCACCAAAATCTAAAAGTTCTTCCCTTTTTCATTTCAATACTCTCAAGAATCAACATTGGACCCGCGTTGTGGACGAATGTGGTAACCAGATCATCCACCTCCAAATGAGGTACACTGCATGCATGCATGATTATTGTTCAGTTTCTAAAATAAGGCTCATCATTTTATGAGTAATCATTAAAGAAGTATTAGCTACTTTTAATTTATTGCTTTATTAGTACTAATATGGTGTTTTTATTGAGGAAATGGTCTCGGGTTACATTCAATTCTCAATGAAGTGAGATTGATCCCAGTTTACCCCAGGCCCCCCAAATCCCCTCCCCCGATGCCCTCTGGGATAAAAAAAATGGTGTTTTTATTGTTGCACAAAGTAATTCCAAAACACGAGGTGTAATCTTTCCAATGAGATAAAAAAGACTTAAAACGAAACAAAATACACAATACGTAGTACAGAGTATTAACTTATTTTTTTGCTTCACTACTAATTGTGAATACAAATTCATTATTCATGGGTTCACTCTATGATTGAAATTAAATTGTTATACACACACATATTTATATTTTTTTCATTACATGTAGTGGATCCAAGTATGTATCCAAGGGAAAGTCAGATTCTATCTCAAAGGGGGAAGTCATTGCTCTAACAAATTTTGGGGATATATTTACTTTGGCTGAGTTGAGAGGGAAAGAATGGTCACTGGTAAATTGTGAGTGGTCTATTTGTTTCCCAAAAGCCACAGATGATGAGAAAGATGATGGTCACCTTTTGAAGATGACTGGAGCTTCCCGAACTGTGAGCATATATGCATTCAATTTAATAGCCTCTTTGTTTTTATCACATGAATAATTATGACTCCATACTACGGACTTAAAAAGTAGGGAAAACTGTAAAATAGGTCCTCGAACTTTTATAAAAATGTCAATTAAGTCCTTCTATAGAAGACTCTGTCCGGTCGTCGCGATTTGGGGCGCGCGGTTCCCGGTGGAATTTTTTTATGAATTTTTTTGAGCATCTTATTCATCAAGTCTAGTTTACTCATACCAAATTTCAGCTAAAAAGTTAATCGGGAGCGCATTCAAATTAATTCGAGAACGCAAAAATGCGCAGTTATCTTCAAGAATTAATTTGAATGTGTTCCTTATTGAATTTTTAGCTGAAATTTGGTATAAATAAACTAGACTTGGTGAATAAGATGCTCAAAAAATTTCATCAAAAAATTCCACCGGGAACTGCCCCAAATCGCGACGGCCGGACAGAACCTCCTATGTAAGGACTTAATTGACCCTTTTATGAAAGTTCGAGGACCTATTTGACATTTTTCCCTAAAAAGTATGACATACTTAACTTTTGTGAAGTACGTAGTACTATTCATGTTTGACATGCATACATAAGTTTCATAATGATTGATGTAGCTTATTTTATTTTAAGATATTTTCCTAAATAAAAAAATAAAACTACGATTGAATTGTAAATAAAACTAAATTATACCCCGTAATTACCATCCTCAATCATACTATCATATTTTGACATTATCAGGCACATCTATATATATATTAATCGAACTAAGTGAGTATCCCGCCCAATTTTAGGGGCATTTGCGTAACTCCACCAAACCCTTGCCTATCTGGCTATCTATTCTCCATCAAATTCTCTGAAGCATCGCCTATCCACTGAACTCTTCGATGATATTGGAAGCATCTGTATATCTTCTGCTCATCTATCGCTCAGTCTAGATTTCCCTTTCGATCACTCATTCCCTAGCGTCTCCGCGGCTCTCTCTCGAGGTGAAAGGTTTTGGGCTTCAACGATTTCTATCTACCCTTCCATCTGCATCTTCAGCCTTCATCCGATCCTTCATACGCAGGTGATAAGGGTTATGCCCAAAAACCGAAAAAACAAGAGGCAAGGTAGTACGATTAATGAAGCTAAATCAACTCTCAGGTGATCTGGTAAGTAATACTTTCCGTATATTTATCTTTTTTTTTATTAAATCCAAAACTGAAGGGGAAAAACATTCATTTCTTCATTGAAATTTATCAATTTACAAGAGTGCATGTTTTAGGGTTTAGTGTAAGCTACATGTGATTTGGTTAGCAACTCAGCAAGTTTTCAAAATTACTAAAATTATTTGAAACAATAGCTGACCAGTTTACTTTTAATGTATTACTCCAGTGATACATTAATCTACTTTAAGAATAAACTACCAAATTTAAGAATTAATTCGAACATCACTTCAGTTCAAGGTAAATGGTGAAATATATGGAGGCCTGCAGCCCATGAGTTCAACTTTCAATTTAAAGTAGATTTCGTTGGAATGACGCTAACACAAACACATTTGTACATGTCATTGTTTTCACTTAACATTGCATATATAGTATATACTTTCTGGAGGCATTAAACGAGAATTGGAGTTCCTTGGGTATTACATATCAAGCTGGAGAAAATGATCCCATTTGTAAGTATAAGAATTTCGTACTTTTCATCTACAAACAAAAACCTGGGTTAATGTTATTTAAAAAAACAAAGAAAGATCATGTATGCCTTTTATCGAACATGGCATATGCAGGATACTGAGAGTACCTATTGTGAACTTATGTTCATATATCAAGTTTTCAGAATGTGGGCAAGCAGTTAAGGAAGATTTAAAGGTTTTTCTTTGTTTCCGTATTGCTTTTTACTAAAGTTTTAGGAATGCTTTTAAATGGAACTTACTAATACTGAACTGATGTATTACCACAATATTAGTACCCTAACTAATATACGAAACCTTTTTTTCTGACAAACTAATATACCAACCTGTTGTTTTTTTAATAAACTTTGGAAATAATTGGGCCTGCTTCTTTTTTTTTTTTGACAAACTTGGGAAAACATAGTTTTAACCAATTTTAAGTTTTAAAAACATACTCCGTACAATGAATGATTTAATGAATATGTGAAGACTCTGTGACTTGGTTAATATTTTCTTCCAGTAGGAAAGGACCCTGACTAATATACCAACTTGGTGCTTTCTTTTTTTTTGTCAAACTTTGGGAAATATTAGGACCTGTTTTTTTACAAACAGGAAAAAATAGGCTGAACCAATCCTAAAGCAAAGACTATCATATTGTCTGATTTATTTAATTCCAGTGATAATCCAATGATTACTTAATAGCAACCAGAGGTGAGTAGCATCGATGCTACTTAAAAAAAACTACATATTGTAACTACACCTTTGTAAGTTCACTAAGTTGGTTATTATATCAACGACTCTGCAACTTGGTCAAGATTTTCTTCTTAACAAATTAAAGAGGAGTGAGTTTGAGAATAAATCCTTCATGGACAAAAGAAGGATTTATTTTGTTTCAAGATAATAGACTTAGATATGAAACATTTTCCAAGAGACACATTGTTATATTGCATATCTGAATTTCTGTTAGTATTAGGAGGAGGAAGAGTGGTTATTCTTAAAGAATGTGTGTGTCTTCTTTGAGAACACACATCCTATTCTCAAAGTACTCAGTAACTTATCCAAACATCAACCAAAATAACTTTCTTAAATTATTCTCAAGTCCATTAACAAATTCAAGAAACTGAAATTTTTCTAAAATACCATAGTCACTGGCAGGAAAATTCAAAATTTCATTGAGGCAGCATTAATATTCTTACGGTATTTAAAAGGTAGCATACTTTACAACATTTTCACTAGCTTTGCCGGTCTTTTCCCTATTCCAAAGGTTTTATATGAATTTTCGGTTGGTTAATATTCTGGATTTATACCTCATGGATTTCCATCATTTGCAATGGAGCCAAAGATTCATTATTTTTTGGCTTAAGAATATGATGGAATAAAGCAAAATGGCTCACTAAACTGTCTGTGCTTCTTTGCTATGAAGTAGCAGTCAGCCCATGCAATTTTGGACGCGATTTTCACTATGGGTCATCCGGAAACAGTCTCTCTGTGCTTCAATACAGAGGTAAGACTGCGTACATCCAACCCCCCCTTACCCCACCGTAGGTGGGAGCCTTTGCGGCGCTGGGGTAAATGAAAATGAAATGAAATGAAATGGTAGTGCCAATGGTGGGATTTTTGCAAAAGGGTGATTTTACTTTTCTACTCATTACAGTTTTCAAGAAGTAGGTAATAAAGAATTCAAAATCACAGATTTAACAAATATATGGGTTCAATAGGTAACAATGACAGTAGGGCATTTTTGTTAATATTCAGTTTTTTCTTATTTCATGTATTCTTTTCCTAAAAATTGATCATATACTTTTCATTACTTTTCATTTCATGAGTAACGAACGGATCCTCAATGCATCCTAATGAGTAATGACCTTAACCGTGCTCTAGCAAAGATCATTTCATTGTCATAAATGGATACTCAACCAAAATACCTACTACGTATATATTTATAGCACTTTCTGTTCTGTCCATTTTCAGGATATCCCCTTAAAACCACCAGCTTTATACAATTGATAAGTAACATTGACCAAGATTGAATTGAAAAGTGATCTACACATTTTATGTAAAATGACACAGTAGCATGTAAAACTTACACACACAGAAATTATAGCTACCACGGTCCTCCTTTCTTTTATTACAACGAAAATGGTTTATTGCTGCAAACTATATTCATGTTCTTACAAACAATTCACTTGTCATGCCTACATACCATACTTAGTTCACATGTTCGCTTTTTCTCCCAAGCTATGTACTCATATGTTACTGGTGTGAAGGAGTACACATAGTTATTCAGCCTAACAAATGTTTATTCTTTAATATTTATTTAGTTAAAAAAAATTCAAGAAATGGTATTTAGCCAATCTGAAGTTTGGGTGTTTCTTCTTTCAAAACCCTTGGTAACACTGGAAATATTGCCACTCTTTGTGGTTGATGAGTTTAAATAAAGCTTTGTTTCCTCCCTACATATTTCTTTCCCTAAAGATTAATAGTATACTTTCAACTAATATTGTAATTGATTAGTCCCTTATTTCATGTATTCTTTCTTTGTTTTTAGTTTTTTTGGCTAACCCCCCACCCCTCTTTTCTTAAAATGGAAATTAGTGAAAGTAAGGCATGAGTTATGAGTATGCTACTGAGGTGGTAGATTAGTGTAGTGTGATTTTAAGTCTTATGTTTTCTTTTCCAAAAACTTCGCTTGATTATTACACACTTCCGTCATCACCTCCGATGGTTAGATGCTGTTGGCCAGAAACTTTTCGGTTGGATTACTCTGATGATGATAACTTTTTTCATTAATTTCTCACTCAACTTGATGATACTCAGAGTTCTTTTTCTGGTGGATGCTCTTTCACCACTATGCACATGCTTTTGTTCAATCCTGTTTTTTCACTTTTGGTATTATATTGTTAATCCAATACAAATTAGAACATTGGTTGAATGTATGTTTTTGTTCACTGGACATCTGATAGTTAACGGAGTATAATGTTTTATATTGAAACTTAGGTCTTCTATAATATTATATGTGAAGTGATATTAATGGGTGATACTTGACTTGAGTTAAACCCCATTTATTGTGTTTTGGTGTAGAAGCTTTGGATACTGTGCTAAAAGAATCATGATATGATGTACTCTGGGTTTTTAATATTTACCTTTGTTCACCATTGAGAGAGAAAAAAAACAAAAAACTGAGTTAAAACCCATTATTTATTAGTCAAACATAAGAGATTGTTTTTACTAATCTGTACTTTGTCTTTAGTGCTTACAACTTTGCTTCCAATTCTTCTTATATTTTTACATAAAAAAATTGGAAGTTGACTAATGATGGTGTGATTGATATACTCTCACCGTTTAATAAACTATCTATAGTTAATAAACATTGGTTATTCAAATTGGATAATGTGACCAAGTCATTAATATATACTTCGTATGTTTTACATTGCATCCAGGTGTGTGCATACGGGCTACAGTTGAGAATGCTTATGACTCTACAAGAGTACAAGCTAGCAGGACATGCGTTCAGATTAAGTTTTATAGAGAACACAAAGATTAAGGAAAATGAGCTCTCATTAGAGCACATTTCTCTAGGGATCTGTACCACCTTAAACGTTTTACAAAAATTCTTAATATGCCAAGGAGGATAGAATTGGAGAAAATTCTAAATATACTCAGTTTTTGAAACTTCGATGCCAAAACACAGACTATGGTTTAGGACTTTTGGATATGAAGATACGGGTTTTTGGAAAGTTGTAATTTAAATGAAATCGTATTTAGAACAGAAGCTATTTGGAAACCCTCTTCCGAATGAACAAAGAATAAGAAAAAGGTAGGGGGTTGTGGGGGCCATGTATAAAATAACATCTCATTTTTCTTTAGTGTGCTAACCTTTTTCCATCTATATTCCAATTTTTACAAAGAATATACTACGAATTAAAATTCATAACTTTTTACGAGCTTTCATATGACACCAATATCACGTATACAAAGTTTTATAAAAAATTGAAGTTACAATTGTAGGTAGGAGGTTTTCACATCGACAAGAGTCGAAATTCGTATGTGCAATAAGCTTATAAGCCTGGGAAATAAATTTAACAATGGAAATAATTTATGTACACTTCAATAAGCCTTGGAACCATTTGTCAGTTCTTAGATAATTTATTAATTCGTCACCCCGTGCAACGCACGGGTAAAAGACTAGTTAACATATATAACAATATCATCAAACCATAACAATAAGGAGAGAATCCATAAATCTGAATTGAACTGGATTGAAGACTAAATATATATTACTAGAATTTAATATTAGCGGCGTTGATTGAATATGAAAACAAAAAAATTGAAACATAAAATTCAAACAAATTAGGTTTTCAAAAAAAAAAAATCAAACAAATTAAGTTGTGCTAGCTTCAGCCCACTCTATAGCTCTAACGTAGGTCTTCTGATCCCTTGTTAATAGGGTGAAGTCTCAAATAAGACATTAAGGTTATTTGAGAAGTTCAAATTAGACACTAATCTTTTAAGTGGATCAAATAAACACATAAATAACTTATTTGAGCTACATTTAGCCACCCACTAACATTTCCTTAAACGGACCGTCCATCTTAATATTAACCATCCATTATCCTTTCCTTTAAAGCTTCAAACCAAATCAATACCTAACATACCCACGAATTGCTGCAAAAGCTTAATAAATCCATTTAACTCCATTAGTAGGTCACAAAGCAGCTTTAACGTTTCTGAAGTACGAACCAAAATTTCGCTTCAATTCCTGCCATAGCCACTCTCAGAGTAGGAGGTTATTCTCAGAGCAAGGCTCCTAAGCACCCCGCGCATAGGTCGAAACACCTTTTCTCCGTCAGTGGATTTGGTGAGTTGCTGCAGTTGACTTTGAAGCTCCGGTTAATTATGTTACCCTGTGGCATAGCTTTTCCGCAGTTGGTAGATCTTATGCAACCGCTACCAGTCGAAGCCGTCAGAGATGAACAATTTCCCCAAAAACCGGCGAGACCTGTGTGGCGGCATGGCCGGTCCTAGGGGGAGGCAGCAGGGGCGACCGCCCTAGGCCCAAAAAACATAGAAAGAGAATTAGACCCAAGTGTTTTTCTTAATTTGAGTAAGCTTCTTTTTTTATTTATAATTTCAATTAATTAATAAGGTCTAATGTGTAATTTTTGTTGAAAATCTGAGACTTTTAAAGCATAAGTAAAAGTGTTGAACAGAGCTAGACAAGTTTAAAAAAGAATACTCGTATAAATTTAGTTTTGATTTTTAAATATAGTTGGTTCTAAGTCAACACATTTGTTGTTGAATCAATAAAAACACGTCTCTTCACATCTTTTTAGCCTTTAAGATTTTTTATTCTTTTAATTACAAAATTACCAATTTATATTATTGCCTTTGGGTTGCTAGTGTCTCCCAATTCTCAAACATCATCCCGATTATCTATTATGATTAAGAAAAACTTAATGGATTAGCAATTTTAAGCATTGAACATGTGATCTTGAAAAAGATTGATTATAAAACAATTATTGATTATTTTATTTCACAATGTTCTTTTCTGATACTTGTGTTGTTACTTTTGTCCAAATATGCAATTCAAATAATATGAGGGTGAATTTCAACTTTATTTTGTAACATTTATTAGATAGTTGTAGGGATAATTCCTGAAATAGGAGTAATTACTGTCATGTTCGGAAAATATGATACTGTCAAAATATGACAATAATTACTTCTATTTAGAAAATAAAAACATGATAATCTTAGTTTATTTGGAATATACAAACGTTTTTACTCGTATTTAGAGTAATTTCTCCTAGTTTTATTATACTCCGTAGTTTTTACTTTAAGTATAATTTACTGTTTATCTTGAAAATAAGGCCAAAATAGTAATTCGCCCATAGGCCCAAAATTGGATAGGACCGGCCCTGCAGTGTGGCGGATCCAATTTTTGCTTATCCAGCTTACCGTGAATTTCACTAGACGCGTCAATGGTTTTCTGAACACCGCCAAAGTAAATTTTGTGTAGAACCGGGACCATTAGAATAAGTACAACCAAGAAAAGCTAGAAACTTGTTAGAGTTCTTTTGTGCAATTTCTCCACTTGTTCGACTTCTAAGTTTTTTCATCTTTGATGTATTAGTAATAATCTATTCTCACACGTTTGAGATGAAGGAACTAAAAGAGAAGCATGTCTGGTGGAAAAGTTTGACAAAATAATTCTACACGTTTCAGAACTAAAGAAACGAGAAGAAGAGAAGAGGAAGATGACAGGTTTTAGACTAAGATAGGATAGGAGGCAGTTGAGAACGGTGAGATGACAGAGGTGTTAAAATTGGAGCACCGTTAAATTGAAAATCGAGTGGGTGGCCAAATGTTATCAAAATAAATAACTTAAGTGTTAATTTGGTCCATTTAAAAGCTAAGTGTTCAATTCGAGATTCTTAAATAACGTTAGTGTCCTTTTTGAGCCTTCTCCCCTTGTTAATACTCCCTCCGTCCCGGAAAATTGTTCCCGGTTTCCTTTTTGGGTCGTCCCAAAAAATTGTTCCACTTTCTCCTTTTGAAAAGTTTTTTGTGGCTACAATTCATTTACATTTTTCTTACTCAACCACAACCATACATTTCCACTTTATTCCCATTTTCTTAAACTCCGTTCCAAGTCAATGCGGGAACAATTTTCCGGGACGGAGGGAGTAGCAATTACTCCGATCCGATTTAGGAAAAAAAATATAGTACTGATATTTTAGAAATTTTTATTGTTTTTCCTCACATTTAGGGCAACTTCTTTTTTATGTTTTAAAACGAAGGATGTTAGTTTGTCATATTTTATAATTTTTGCCGAAACTAGTACAACCATTTTTTACTACTTGTATCAGTGCGTTTTACCCAAAAATTGAGCATAAAAAGTATCAATATTAAAGAGATATTTGCACATTTAGTGGTATGTGCCCACTATTAGTTACATAGCTTTTCATGCTTTCATATCATCTTCCGTAATTAATGCTTTTGTTTATTTTAAAAACTTTTTCATCAGAAGGTAGAACGTATGGCAAAAAGCATACTAGAGTTTTCGTCGTCGATCAGTGTGAAACTTTCTTCTGAGATGGCTTCTATAGAAAAGTTTCTATTGTGGAAAAATTTATTAATTAGGATTATTTTAGTTGGATTGATTTCAGTCTGAGACTATACCAAATAAGACTTAAACTGGTCATACTAGGCTTAAACATAGCTGATGAATAGACTTAAAAAATAGTAAACAGGTCACCCCAGTTAGTCTCCCCTGAGCCCAGTGGCGGAACCACTCAAGGGCTTGGGGGTGCTTGTGCCCCTGCAGCTTCTTTACTACGGAGTATATACATTCCACAAGTCTTTCTTCTTTTTGGGGCTGTTACAGCGCAGCTGATCCATGTTCGGCGACGTCCATCAAACTCACCAAAATTAATTCACAATCTCAATTGTCCTCTTCCCCCACTCAAATCTTAAAGGTATATAAAACATCATCTTGTTCAGAAACCCCGCTTGTGATATGAAGAAGTAATGACAGAAATGTTGTTATAATGTGTAATCCTTATTAATCCGTCGTTGAAGACTTGAATTTGACTGATTTCATAATAATGGATTAATAACGCAACACATTCGGTATGGCAATAATAACGTTTATAAGGGATTAATGGCTAGCTTGACCTCCGTCATATACTATGGTGTGAAATCTTGTATGACAAATTTAATTTGTTATGACAAATTAACAACGGACCATTTATTAATCACCTCAATTGATTTCTAATATTAAGGATAATTAAATAATATCACCTCTCCAAATATCTGATCACCTCCATAATTTTGTGTAATTTTAGTATTCACTATCGCTTGAATATCTATCGAGTATATTCACTTATTTTTGCCGCCATCCGCCTTGCCGAAGACCAAAATTTTAGGGCCTCAGCAAGCTGCCCCCTTTCCATGTTGCTGGAGACCTACTCTTTCCCTAATGTGCCCCTCCAAGATCCCCGACCTGGTTCCGCCACTGCCTGAGCCCGCAATGCAACAAAAAAAAATGAAAACGAGTTGAATACTTAATTAATTATTTAATTTTATTTTATAATTTACGTATACAGATTAAGTACTTCCCTGGTTGGAAGATGGATTATCACCTCAAGCATTCTGAGAAGGAAAAAACTGAAAACGAATTCATGACCGCAATAGAGTTCTCGGATGAACACCCATATGGGAAGGCAATGGCTATGGTCGACTTCAATTCTGGTGTAGTCAATATAAATAATTTTTTATCATTTTGGGCGTAATATATAATTGGAGTTGTGTGTGTACGTGTGTGTGTGTGTATATATATATATATAGCTTATTGATCACTCGCCCTTTATATTATTAAAAAAAATTGAATATAGGTGAAAGAGGATTGGTTACTTATGCCCTGGTAATTGCTTTTATACTCTTCGACATTCTCAAAAAGAAAGAAGTGTATGATGACAATAAAGGGCCATCCAACAATTTTGCTGAGAGGAATGAGATGCTGAAGGCTCATAATGAATTTGTGATTTTAGCAGAAATAGGGAAATGCAATGGTTGCGATAGTACTGGCGGTGGTAGAGATTGCGGCAACAAATGCAGTGAATGTGGTGGTTCATAAATGATTGCTTGGAGCAGTGTTACATTGTGTCATCGTACCAAGTATTTAAATTTAATTTGGGGAACCTCTATTCATAAGTTCCGCCAAAATCCCATCTCCACATTTGTACTACCACTATTCTTCTTTAATTGCAATATTCATGAGTTTTGCACTACATACATACTCTATTTTCATGACGTTTTATTTATTAATGTGTTATAAATTAATATTTTAAAAATATAAATAAATTCCTCTCGTATTTAATTTTTAAAATATGAAATTTTTAATATTTTACTAAAAAGAAATTAAATGTATTAATGGTCAAACTTGTGTGTTGAAAAACGTGAAAAATGAGCTGTTACTAATCAGACATGGCGGTTGCGGTTTTTGTGACGTTTGGGCAAATTCTTTATAGTATATTTTTATGGAAATATTTTTAATAAGGAACTTTTTAATGTAACTTTCATATTCAAAATAATTCCGTATTAAAAAATCATAAGTCAAAGTTTACAACCATGGACCAGAAAAAGTCAGTTTGACAAATCTATTTGGAGAGGAAGTATCACTTTTTTGTCAAGATCTATTCTTAATCCCAATTTTGTTAACTAGTTAGAGCGTGCTCCAACTACCTAGAGCGTGCTCCATCTACCTAATATAGCGCGCTCCAACTACTTAGAGTGCGCTCCAAGTACTTAGAGCGAGTTCCAACTTCTTGAACCGCGGTCCTAGAACTTAGAACGTGTGCTTCAACATCTTAGATCGTCCTCCAACTTCTTACGGCATGCTCCAACTACTTAGAGCGCGCTCCAACAACTTAGATCGCGCTCCAAGTGCTTGGATCGCTCTCCAACAGCTTGGAGCGCGCTCCAACTGCTTGGAGCGTGCTCAGACTGCTTGGAGCGCGTTCCAACTGCTTAAAGCACCCTCCAACTTCTTAGACCGCGGTCCTACTACTTAGATTGTGTGCTTCAACTTCTTCGAGCGCTCCAAGCACAACTTGGAGCGGGATCCAACTGCTTGGAGCGCGCTCCAACTGCTTGAGCGCGCTCTAAGAAGTTGGAGCGCGCTCTACGTAGTTGGAACACACTCAAAGGAGTTGGAGCGCGCTCTAAGCAATTGGAGCGCACTTTAAGCAGTTGGAGGGCGTTCTAAGCAGTTGGAGCGCACTCTGAGAAGGTGGAGTGCGATCTGAGAAGTTGGAGCGTGTTCCAAGTGTTTGGAGCGCCCCCTCCAACTGGTTAGAGCGCACTCCAACTGCTTAGAGCGCGCTGCAACTACTTACAACGCGCTCTAAGCAGTGGGAGCGTGTTTTACGCAGTTGGATCGCGCTCGAAGCAGTTGGAGTGTGTTCTAAGGAGTTGGAGCGTGCTCTGAGTAGTTGGAGTGCGCTCTAAGTAGTTCGAGCTTGCTCCAAGTAGTTGGAGTGCGTTCCAAGTGCTTATAGTGCCCCCTCCAACTGGTTAGAGCACGGTCCAACTGCTGAGAGCGCGCTCCAACTGCATAGAGCACGCTTCACCTTCTTAGAGCGCACCACCTAATTTGAGCGCGCACCAACTACTTCGAGCGCACTCCAACTTCTTAGAGCGCGCTCCAACTTCTTAGAGCACGCTCCAACTACTTAGAGCGCGCTCCAACTACTTAGAGCTCCAACTACTTAGAACACGCTCCAACTACTTAGAGCGGTCTCCAACTACTTAGAGCGCCTCCTACAATATAGAGTGTGTTACTGTGTTCCAACTACTTATAGTGTGTTCCAACTACTTAAAGCGCGCTCCAACTACTTAGAGTGCGCTCCAACTACTTAGAGTGCGCTCCAACTTGTTAAAGTGCGCTGCAACTTCTTAAAGCTCGCTCCAACTACTTCAGATAGGGATACCAAATTTATTAAGTATTTATGATTTCTTTACTTTACCCCTCAGTTCCTAGGCATGTAGTGGATCTGGTGCCATTGCCTAAAGCTCTTGGAGTGAGCGCCGGTGTAGAAAATATGACCAAAGATGTGCAAACTTTTAAATAGGCTACAAAAGCTAAGCTAGAGGCCACATGATAGAAGAATATGGCCGCTGTGGACAAACACAAGCGATTGAAGGTATTTATAGTTGGTGATGTTGTGATGGAATTTTTTGCAAAATGGGAGGTTTCCTGTAGGTACCTATAAGAAGTTGTAGCCCCGCAAGTATGGTCCATTCAAAGTGACAAAGAAGATTAACGTCAAAGGCTGTGTCGTTGCTCTACTCGACTCTCTGAATATTTCTAACATGTTCAATGTGGCTGACATATATCATATCACGAGGATGGTGTTCTTTATCCCGATCAAAACTCAAGGTCAAGTTCTTCAAAGGTGGAGGAGACTGAAGTAGTGATGTAGAGCGCTTAGCTAAGCAAATTGAAGCAGAGTTGGGACTTCGAAAAGGAATACCATGAAGAATGCAGATTTGGCATCCATGAGCCTCATAATAATTTGGGTTTTAATTTTATGTTTTGTGCCTTTCAAAATTTCTACTTTCCAAGAATTTATTTCTTGTTGAGATTGGATTTTAAACCACCTCTTAGATAGTATTTAAGGTTGCCAATTACTTTATTATGGATATTGCACATTCCTGAATAACACCCAAAGTTTTTCTCTAGTTTCAACAGTTTTATGAAAGCCTTTTTTCTAGTTTCATTGCTTGCAAACTTAAGTATCACTACTTAATCCCGTGCTTCCATAGCTGCATCAATAAATAAATAAATCAATGAATAAAAAGTATGGATTTTATGTTCTAAATTGATAATTTTCAATCATTCGAACCTTATACAGACACATTTTATTTTTCAAGTCCCAAATTGACAATTCATCTACTCCCTTCGTCCCAAAAAATTGTTCCCGCATTAACTTGGAAAGGAATTTAAGAAAGTGAGAATAAAATGGAAATATATGGTTATGATTGAGTAAGAAAAGCTAAATAAATTGTAACCACAAAAAACTTTCCAAAAGGAGAAAGTGGAACCATTTTTTGGGACGACCCAAAAAGGAAACTAAAAACAATTTTTTGGGATAGAGGGAGTATTTTTTAGATTCTAAATTGATAAAATTCCTTCAAAAAAATGTACCCAAACCCAGACTAGACCGGCCAACCTCAAAAATTAAAGTTTGGGGTACCAGTTCGCCATCCTGGTAACAGTTCAAAATTTGGCCAATCCCAGGAACAAGAGCTTATCCACCCCTTGGAGTAATCGTGACCACTCATCCAATAAAACGGAGGTATGAGATAATTTTTAAGCCTTAAACTCATGGGAAAACTATCAAATAGGTCCTAGAACTTTCATAAAAAGGTCAAATAAGTCCTTATATAGGAGGCTCTGTCCGGCTGTCGCGATTTGGGGCGGTTCTCAGCGGAATTTTTTGATGAAATTTTTTAGCATCTTATTCATCAAGTCTAGTTTACGCATACCAAATTTCTGCTAAAACTTCAATCGGGAATGCATTCAAATTAATTCTTGAAGATAATTGCGCATTTAACTACACAGTTATCTTCAAGAATTAATTTGAATGTGTTCCCGATTGAAGTTTTAGCTGAAATTTGGTATGAGTAAACTAGACTTGATGAACAAGAATATAAGATGTTCAAAAAATTTCATCAAAAAATTCCACCGGAAACCGCCCAAATCGCGACGGTCAGACAGTCTCCTATATAAGGACTTATTTGATCTTTTTATGAAAGTTCGAGGACCTATTTGACAGTTTTCCCTAAACTCATCGAAAGTGTGTGTAATAGTTCTTCATACAAACAGTGTATTATTATGTAAATAATAGTGCACAGAATGTTTCTAGGCTATGTAATCCATTGATTTTCAGGAATATATAACAACCTTAATCCCATGTCATACTGGATAAGATATTGCAGTAACCCACTAGTTTATGATCTCTACTCCTATCAACCGACAGGTGATTCTTCATGTTTTTTAGAAGTCTCAAATGTATTCACACGTCCTGTCATAGGATCCACCTCACGGTTGTCTCGGGGACCACCTTTTCGTCCCATGGCCATCATTGGCGGAGGCGGCAACACGCCCGCTCTAAAAAGAAGACGCTGAACTGGATCCGATGGCTGTGCACCAACTGATAGCCAATATCTGTGTGTATATTATGTGCAAAATATAGCAAATTCCACTATCAGTGCGACAAGGTCTAACACTATAATGAGGAACTCTAAGTAGAGATAATACTGTTCTGAACAAGTCACATCAATGCTCAAGACCAGGCCCGATTGCATTTAGAGAAAAGGTATTAGAAACCTAGTTATGTTAACTGTGTGCTTAGCAATATGATACAAGTAACTATTACCGAAGATTTTCTTCAGTTACATAAAAAGTATCAAATTTCCAATCTGGACAGTATGATTTGGATTTCAATGAAAAGCATTTTAAATTCATCATTACCATTTGATCTTAAATCTCATGATTGAGATATAGTTAAGTTAGCTGTCCAGAGCCATCCCTCAAAATCCTTAAATATAACTCCTAATCTGACTCTCAACGAACCCAGAAGTCATAATAAAAGTGCATGAGAACAAGTAAATGTAAATTCACTTACTTCACCCTTTCAAAATTAAGACCCATTCGTTTCCCACCATCTTGCCCTAAATAAATCAATATACGCAATGTCAGTAACCTACAAAATCACAATAAGAAACTGCAAAGAGCATAACACCAAAATCCAAAAAGTCTGGGTAGTTATTTCACACCCATGATTTCAAAATCCATAAGAACATTCATGATTTCATATCCTTTAAAGGTTGTGCACATTCCAAATGTCCAAGATTAAGCATGCGAATTCTAAATATCACAGATGCACGATGATGATGGTACCTATAATGATGAGCTAACTTATTTTTCCTGCTAACTTGCTCGGCTCATAACCAACACTTCAGAATGTTAAAATGTGAAACACTTAAAAAAATCCAACAATGTACAACAAATGTAAAATAAGTTAGATTACAGATTTACCCCCGAAAAATGAAGTGCTGGTGTAGTTCAAAAACTATTGTCAGTTTACTCCCCTTCAATCAACAGATGAATACATAGAAGTGCTGGTGGTTTCCAAACAATTGTCACTTGTCAGTTTACATCATTTTCACAACTACAGCCTTTCAATCAACAGATTAATATTTTAAAAAATTATAAGAATCCTCTGGTCAAACAATGTGACTGTAAGATTTAGAGCAGGACTCAAGACAATATAATAACTACTTACAATGCCTTTAGGATTAAAACTAAATACGCAATTATTACAGAAGTGAGGCATTTTTATCATGTATTTGCAACAACAAATCCAACAATTAACTATCTGCAATAATGTTTGGAAAAAAAAAACTATCTGCAATAAAAATAAGCGGGGGGGGGGGGGTAAGGGTTACCTGGCAACGGGTTGTAATAGCCAAGAACTTCCAAATGCTTTCCATCCCTGGGGGATCTGCTATCAGCAGCCATCACTCTATAGAAGGGCTTGTTCTTGCACCCGAACCTTGACAATCTCAGCCTAACCACCATCTTCTACTGCTGTATAACCACCCTGTCCTAGATAAATTGAACAACAACTAGTGAAGAAATAACATTAACTAACAACATATCTAGTAAGTAAATACCCACGCCTGTCCAAGAACTGCTCTCTAAAGATCCCGCATTCATGTAAAAGAATTTACAGAAATTATATTATAACACAGTTCCAGAGGTTTCTATGATGCACATATTAAAAAAATCCTCACAAGTAAGTAGTAACTATCATATGAAAAAAAAACGGGGTTAATGCTTAAATACTATTTTAAAATTTAGTTAAACAACCAACAACTTTTAAACATATACAGGTGTGATTCATGAGGCCTAATTGTTTGATCTCACCAAGTTACCAACCACATTGTTGTGAGAATGAGCTGTGGTACATGGCAACCATTCATGTTCAGAAGTTCTTTAGAAACATTTATGGTTATCCGACTTCTTGGTTAAGTAAAAGAAGTTAGAGAATATGCTTAGCAAACATAAAAGATGCTAATTGCTCCTGTTAAAAATAACTTATAAAAAGCTGCCAACAGAGTTGTAATTTTTTTTAAAAAAAATGCATTGATATTTGATATACTCCCTCCATGCCTTAAAACTTTGCCATCTTTGAATTTTATGGTAATCATGTTCAACTTTGACGAATTATATATTATTATAGGAAATTATTTCTAATATATAAATGATATGAAAATGTTCTATGTAAAAAGTACTTTCATAAAAATATTAAATTTATAACTTTCATAATATTACACTAATCAAAATCATGGTCCAAACTTTACCACCATTGACTTGAAAAGTCAAAGATGATGGCAAAGATTTAAGGGACTGAGGTAGTATTAATCTACAGTCTTTGCAATACAAGTTGGAAACAGTGCAATGCTAAGTTAATTCTCACAGTATTTCAGTAACTGTCTTTACACGCCATAGAAACTTAATCTTTTTTACTAAGTTCTAACCCAGTCTAAATTGTTAGCACGTTAACCTAAACCAGATTTTACCACATCTTCTCATCTGAAGTTGGGTTTAAATTAATGAACAGTTGAACAAGTGCTTTTGTTAGAAAAACAGAAATTAAAAAATGAGATTAAATTCAAGATTATAAAATGAAGACATGAGATTGAATTAAAGATTAAAAAAAGATATAAAGACCTGAAGTCAGAATGATCGATTAAAGAAGGCTTTGCAGAACTTTTTACATTTCTTTTGCTCCTAAGTTTCACTAACTGAAATTTCAGAAAACTACAATTTTTTTAATTGAACAAAAGATTATCAATAAATAATTGAATCTGAAATTTTTCTGAACCACATATCATAATAATTCACTGGTTGAATCTGAAATGTCTCTATTTTGAACAAAATAAGTAACTTAAATTTTAAATTAGTTTACCTAGCTCAGCAGTGAGTCAGAAAGACGGCAATCGAAATTCTATTCCAGCGTGAAGCTGCGGCACACGGCGTACCACAGGAGGTGCGGTCAGAACTGGGATGAGGGAATTTCTAAAACTAATTGGGCCTTTGGACGGGCTTGTGACATGCATCAACAATAATTTCTAAAACTAATTGGGCCTTTGGACTGGCTTATGACACGCATCAACAATTATCAAGCACTCCATCTTATTTATGGGAAATTCTATACACAGCCACAAAATTTCTATTTATAGACACTTTAAGTAATTTTAATAAATAAAACAATTGCAAATATCTTATCTACCCCTGACTTTCGGTTGTTGTGTGGTTGTGGATAACCCCAGGCAGATCGGCAATTGTCGCTCCCCACTTGGTGGGAGCCTTCCCTAGGTGTGCGCCGTCACTCACAGGTCGCCGAGGGCCTCTCCATTGAGCTTGGCAGTGATGAACGAGTAGACACACGCGCTAGATCTTCAGCTTCTTCGACGAGGGCCTCTCCATCGATCTCATGAGTAATTCTATACGTGAAAGGGTAGAAGGATAGCCAAGGGTAAAATGGACATTTAAATAAATAAATAAATATTTTTTTAATTTTAATTTTGTGACTGCAATTAGTAATTATGTGGCTGTGATAGAATTCCCCTTATTTATTTGTTGAGGGTGGACTGTGGCGCAGATATAAGTTTTGTTATAGTTCCCCATTTAGTCAATTGTTTTTTTTTTTAATAATCAATAATCTTACTTTTTCTATTTTTTATTTTCTTTTTCATACTTTTTCACTGTCTATATTACTTTTTCTTACATTATTTACTACCACTGTTACCTTTTTCATATAATATTGTAGCGACCATTTGAATATGGAGGTGTGAGCATGAGTCCTATCCGCCTCTCTATTCATGATCTAAATATTTTTTGCTTTAATCCAAGTCTTTGTTTTTCTAAATGGTTGTAACCCAATTTTTTTCATTTCCTTTCATTTATTTGTGCTCGTATAAAATAAAAATAAAGTATTTTATATATTTCATATGTCACTAAGACTAAACCCATCCACCGATTATATATTGACTCTAAGGTTATTTGTTCAATTAGTATTGAATAACGTGATATCTTAGACATAAAATGAATAAGGTTCCAATATGAAATTAGATAGCCCTAATTGGGCATCCAACATTAAAGCTAAAAAAAATTGTTGGCACTAAAGTTGTAAACAAAATCGGTTATGCATGTCAATAATTATTTTATAGGTAGTCTTTTTGGTCATGTTGGGCCATAGAGCACTTACTTTCTCTCTACCTACAAACCTAATAACAAATCCTATTGAACTTACAATCCATGTAATTACGTTAATATCTTTTGCAAGACAACGAGGTCTTCTGATTTCTTAAGTTCATATGTAATATATAACCGTGGTGGTGGTGTTAGAATAGTTAATATTTGGTAATTGGTAAAGATAGATTATGTGTATATGCTTATAATGTTAAGGGACTAATGTTAATTTATTAGACCCCTTCATTCTCAATAACTGTAATGGACTTATTCGTGATTTTTATGCTTTTCTATTTCTTATCTATACTAATGTAAAAAGGGAAACCAAGGCAATAACTGTTCCCACCTCAAAGTAACGACCGAACAACGTGTGAAGGCAATAGACGTGCATACATGTGGCACCAAATTGCATAACCTGTCGTAATTATATGTATACATATCAATAGACGTGATTTTTAACATTATTGTTAATCGTCATTTGCGGATAATGGATACACGTGGCAGTACAACTTCTTTTATCATACGTGCCAGCAGTGGCGTATCCAGAAAATTCGGCCAGTGGAGGCAGATTTACACTTACGTTATCACACGTTTTCTAGAAAATAAATATTAATTAAAAAATTAACAATTTACTAAAAAATAAAATAATTTTTTATAAGAAACACATGGAAAATGTAATTATAAGTTTATAACTAATTAAGTTACGAATAAACAAGTGTGTTTTACTATTAAGTGCGAAAAGATGTGATTGAAATTACATACTCTTTCCTTCCCACTAAGATTGTCTCATTTTACATTTTCGGGAAACCCCACTAAGATTCTCTCATATCAAATTGGGTAAAAATTTGTGTGGCTCTAAGTAATTTTTACTTTATTCTTATTTATCAATTCAATATCAACAACATAAACACATTTTTCTTAATAACCGCACAACGTTCTCTTGATATTAAAACTATCTTTAATAGTTGGGATAAGGGTCAGATAGGGCCTCGAACTTGAAAAAAAATGTCAAATAAGGTCATATTTAGGATGCTCTGTCCGGCCGATGCCATTTGGGGCGGTTCCCGATGAAATTTTTTGATGAAATTTTTTTAGCATCTTCCTCATTAAGTCTAGTTTACCCATACCAAATTTCAGCTAAAAATTCAACCGGGAAGATAGTCAAATGATTTTCCGAAATGTACGGCGTTGTTTAACTTCACAGTTATCTTCAAAAAATCATTTGACTACCTTCCCGGTTGAATTTTTAGCTGAAATTTGGTATAGGTAAACTAGACTTAATGAGGAAGATGCTCAAATAATTTCATCAAAAAATTCCATCGAGAACCGCCCCAAATGGCGTCGGCCGGACAGAGCATCCTAAATATGACCTTATTTGACATTTTTTTTTCAAGTTCGAGGCCCTATCTGACCCTTATCCCTTAATAGTTTACTCATACCAAATTTTAGCTAAAACTTCAATCGGACAGTAAGGAGTTATTAAGAAAATATGAGTATGTTTACTGGAACACATGCAGTATTATGGAACAGATGTAGTATCATTTAATAGTTACATTCTAATAAATCATTTTAAAGTAATTTGGATCTTAGGTTTAGACATTCTATAGTACAAAGATACATAAGAAATGGATGAAATATGTAATTATACGTGATTTAAGTTACAAATAAACAAATTTTAATATTAAGTGTGAAAAGATGTTATTGAATGTACATCTTCGTATCATTTATTAGCTACAATAAAAAATTAAATTGAATCTTAAATTTGGTCAAATATCAAACAGTTCCAAAAGAAAAAACTACAATAAAGTGGCCAGGAGGATTTGAACTTGGCCAAAGTAACGGAGCATCAAACACTTCAGCCGCTTGGCTACAGAACTCACTTTGCTAAGTGAGGAGCTTAAGCGTTATTATGCTTTACACAAAACAATGATATATACACACAAATAGAATTTGATATATATATATATATATATATATATATAATGGGGTTGGGTGGAGGTTGAGTGGGGGCAGCTGCCCCCACGCCAGATACGCCCCTGTGTGCCAGTATATCTACTCCACACAATGGAAAATTTGAATATTCGCATTTGCAGGGTCCAAATTTTGTTGATAGGTATATTACTTTGTTTTCGTAATGGTAGTTGCATCTTGCCGTTTCTATTCAGCAGTTAATATCATGTTGTGAGTAATTTTTATCACAGTCTATCCACTAAAACAAATTGGGTAATACTGAGTAAAACTTGTGGTTGCATATGGAGAGCATTTTTCATGATCAAGAGGTACTTTAAGTCTCTTTTATATAAACCAAGTATATAAAATGATCAACTAATCACACTAAAGTTTCAGATCAGTAAATTTAATTGACAATAATGCAATTACATTTATGCTTTTTGGTTGTAAACTTAATTCAGAAATCTATTGGTTTTTATAGTAAAAGTACTACATACGTAGTATATATTATATTAATTCTACTTTTGCATAAAAGTAACCTGTTTAGAAATTAATTTGTTATCTATCCATCACATGAAAATATTAATCAAAGTGTTCAAATTTTAAAAAATATAATGAAATCTTATTTAACACATGGAAATTCATGAAAAGTATACTTATTTATATGTAAAGTTCTTAATTTCATCAATCTATATGTGCCCAAATTTCACACACAAAATTTTATATGCATGCGTATTCATATAAATTTCAAAATGTAAAATGGTGACGACTTTTTCATGAGTTTAAGTTTGTTATAAATAATGGATGTATCATGTATCATGTATGAGTTACGAGTAATATAGAACTCCGTTAACTACAAAGCAGGTTATTCTGTACTCCGTATGTGTTTAATGCCCTTCTACAAAAATGTACAAATGTTATATTTTACAAAAACGTTACAAAAACGAAATCATTCTTATGACTTCACTTTTCAATATAATTCTTGATGTCACACGCAGGGCCGGTTCTGAGAAAATAGGGACCCGGTACAACAACAAAAATTGGGCCTTTTTCCAAGTTCCAACACAAGTGTTTTGTTTTAAAACATTGATTACGATGTCCACTATATCATCAGGATTCTCAGCCACGTCATTACCACAATGATCTGGTATTTCAACATTATTTTCAACGCCTACATCCTATTGTTCACCCTCTTAAACCTGTCTAGCTTTTTTTTACCTCTCTAGCTTCTTTAATACGGAGTAATAAATTTATCAAGAACTCCTTTTTGAGACAAGGTTAACTTTTCAAGTTTTTTCTTTTGAAGCTTCTCATGACCAGATGGGTATTTCTTTGGAAATATAATTACCACCACATATCAATTATTGAAATTCTCCCCTAATCTTGTACAAGTTTTAAAAAATTTGGTTAATAAAATTTTATTTGACAATTAAAAAGCATAAATGTAATTGCATTATTTTTGGTTACAACCAAAAAGTAACCATAAATGTAATTGCATTATGTCCAAAATGTAAAACATTATGTCCAACTCCTTTTAGTTAGTAATATTTGTGACCAAACCCCTTTCACTAATTTGCAATTCAAGGAAATCAGAAAATCATAGTGGTGAATCTGGTGATAGTTGCTTACCGGTTACTGTGGTAGCAGCCTGGACAGTGGACTGGTGGGGCGTCGGCGCGGTCGTGGTCTTGGAGGCGGGAGGTGAAGTGTGGCTGGCGGCGGTGGTCGGCTTGGTCGCTTTAGCAGTTTCGGTTTTGAGCTTTCTCTTCCGTAAGTTCCCTTCGTTCTGTTGTTTTCTTCCTTCGAACCTGGGCTGGCTAGTGGCAGATGGATGACTACTACTACAAATTTTATTTTTGGGCCCCCTAAATTTTGGACCCTGTGCGACTGGGCTGGAAGCACGTGCTCTGGGCCGGCCTTGGTCACACGTAGTGTGAAGACAATTCTTTATATTTGTGCTTCCAAGTTTCTACTTGGATGTAATTTTGGCAGTGCTTCCTAATTTAACATAATTTTGAGAAAGAGCACCTTCTTATATGGGTATATAGAATGTGATCCTTTCATTGCTCTTCAATATGAAAGAAATACTCCGTATTATTTTGTATCATGCAAATCTTTCATGTTTTAGCTTTTGAGACTATGATCCACTTGACCTCAGCGTCCTCACCTCTATGTACACATACACACCACAAAAAATACGCCCACACATATAATATACAATATTTATTAATGTACAATAAATTCAATTTTTAAAAAATATTGCTGAATTTCGCCATCTCCTTTCAAATTTTTAAAATGTGATTTCTTTTGAATTTTTATTAATAAGAAATAATATATATTAATGGTCAAATTTGTGTATTTTGGACAAATGTGAACATTGATAATTTGATACGTTGCAACTAAAAAGGAAGTATATGAAAATCTAAACATTTGGCCCCCATCACCAAAGCCTTATTTTTCACTGTTATGCGGCAACTATTATACAAATACTAAAAGGCATTATCCTAATTGTGCACCGCGTGTTTACACACTAATAGAGTAATAGGTATATTCAAGTAAAAATAGAGTCCCGTAAAAAATGATGATAAATGTAACCTTGTATTACTTAATTGTTTGATTAGATGAAATTTTTAATCATAATAGCACGAAGACAAAATATTGTGCAAATGCTTATGATAAGATAGCTTATAGTTTTTTTTGGGCAATAAGATAGCTTATAGATTTAAGTACACATGAATGCTAAAAAACTATCATATGGGAGAAACTTACACATATTTAATTTTGTACTTAGATGGACATTTTTATGTTCTACATATACACTTACTATATATTTTGATAAATGACTTCGCGTTTCTTAAAATTTGATACCTTTCACCTTTCTTCACATCAGTAGCCAAAATTATATTAGTGCTTATTTTCACATATAAAATACTTTTTATGCGAATTAAATTCTATATATACATATACCAAGTTTTTTTATCATAAAAGAGCTGTCGTTATTTTAAAATCGAGAACACATACAAGACAACCTCAAACAGAAATTACAGATCCTAGCGTGAACACATACAAAGCAACATGACTCACTAAACCTGAAACAGGAAAATTTAGGCCTAAAACGATCGAAACCGAAACCTGCCTATCAAAAGAACTCCAAAAATCCAAACATTCAAACCAAATCTACTCGGAGTAAAACAGAAACAAGTGCTACTAAAGAGAAAATAATACTGAAATAAAATCTTTTCACAAAGCTCTTCCTGGTATGGAGGTGGTTCCGGAGGACGACGAGCTCTTAAAATATGGGTGAATACAACCTCCTCCACCGTCAGAATGGCCGACCAAGGCTTCACAATCCCGCCTCGATATAACCTCCCATCCACAGCTCGTTCATCCGCCAACGTTATCTCCTCTGACGTAGTTGCAATTTCAAGCGTTAGAACACTTAAAAGCAGTATAATATGTCGCTCCTACCCCATATTGATAGGGGCGGCGGAAAATCTCGGAAAATCTCATCCCCTACAAAGAGGGAAGATGGCCGCAGGGTTCGTCTCTCTCTAGAGAGAGGAGAGAACCATTCATTTATTATTAGAAAATAAGACAACCACTTACATCTACCGAGTTTTTACATATGCATATAAATTGAATATTTAGTATTTAATTTTTAGGAAAAGTAAAGTTAATGTGTTTGTGGTTTTGGCCGTTTTCATATAAGGACATAAGGTTAATTTATCACAAAGTGGGACATGTGCTTTCATTTGAGGGTTTCCGTCGAACGCCGTTGAAAAGAATATGAATAAAAAGTGACATGTCACTTCCTTTCTATTTTTACTTTTTAGTGTACATCTGTGTTTGTTTCTATTATATTGTTATGGATTTGTTAGTGCCTTGGAGTAGTAATTGGATTGGCAATCCAAAAAACATAAAAATAAGACTTCTATTGCCGATTCAAAATTTTCCATTATATTGTCTGTCCGTTTCTCTGTTTGCTCACATGACAGAAAAAGGGGTCACAAAGGAGATGTCTCAGATTCAATTCCAAGTAATAACTTGGTATGAAACTCACTCTCTTTCTATCAGAGTGAGATCAAAGGTCAACATCGTTCGTCCGTTTAAGTAACTATCTGATCGGTTTTGGGGGGCTTCAGGGATGAGGTGTCATCCTTTTTTTTGAATTTTCTTGCATGCTCCTTATATATCCATTGTATTCTTGGCAACATGAACTCCTGAGGTGTGCATCTAACAATGGCTATCTATGCATCTGGGTATAAGGGCTATCATTATTTTGGTCCTATTACTAGGTGGTTTTATATCAGTCGTCACGTTAGGTTTCAAGAGAATATTTATCCCTTTAAGTCCGGTACGGTGTCGTCTACCTTTGTTCCCCAACACTGGGTTATTCCCAGATTCTTAGATGCTCCTTTTTCAAGTGCCAATTCTTCTCTTGGGGGCTGCCCTGCTCTAGCACTCATTTCCCACAGCAAGCAATAGCCAACACGCCGACCACCACACCTTTTTCCTCTACCCCACCTGTTGCGGCCAGCCCACGGCCTAGTACACCGCCCAGTCCCCACCACTTACTCTCCACTACCCCAAGCCCGAAATCAAGCCTCAACCTGTCACCTTCCTCTACCCCAAGCCTGGAATCAAGCCAACCCCAGTCGCCTTCCTCCAGCCCTCTCCACCAGTCAGCGTCCCCCTTGTCCCATTCTGCCGAAACAGTCTTGGCTAGCTTCCCACTTAGTGCTCCAATGCCCATTACAGTTGCCAATTCCCATCCCACGCAGAAACGTGCTAAGTCCCAAATTTTTAAACCAAAAAGTATTTTTTCTTTACACACTGATGTTATCGGCACTGACCTGTCTTGTTTTTCTGAGGCAAACAAAAATTTAAAATAGAGAGAGGCTAGGGCTGAGGAGTTTAATGCACTTATTACTACCCGTACATGTGATCTTGTTCCTTTTGACAACTCTAAGAATATTGTCGGGCGTAAGTGGATTTATAAAACAAAATACTATGTATCATTCTGATGGCACAGTGGAGCGGCATAAAGCTAGGGTAGTTGCTCAAAGATTTAATCAGCATGTCGGTATAGATTTTCTGAAACTTTTAGTTCGGTGATCAAACCCACCACTGTGCGTATTGTTCTCACTTTAGCTATTTCTTTTGGTTGGGTGGTTCGTCGGCTTGATGTTAAAAATGTCTTCTTACACGGCCATCTCACTGAAGAAGTATATATGTGCCAGCCTTGTGGTTTTATTCATCCTTAGTTTCCTAATCACATGTATGTGTCGCTTGCGTAAGGCTATTTATGGTCTTAAACAAGCACCACAGGCTTGGTTTCATCGGTTTAGTAGCTTTCTTCTTCAACATCATTTTTCTTGCAGCAAGTCTGATCATTCCCTATATATTTATAGCCATAATAATTCAATCATTTATTTATTATTATATGTAGATGATATTATTATTACTTTTAACTCTGAGACTGTTGTTAATCATTTTATCTCTCTTATTTCTCATCACATTGCCATGAAAGATCTATGAAATTTACACTATTTTTTAGGCATAGAGGCTACTCGTACCTCTAGAGGTTTATTTCTTTCTCAACAAAAGTATGTCACTGATTTGCTTGCTCGTTTTCACTTACACATTGTCAAGTCTGTTCGTACTTCTTTTGCATCACGCACTACACTGACCCCCACTGATGGCGAGTTACTAACAGACTCCACAGAGTATCGCATAATGGTAGGTGTGTTATAATATTTAACTTTGACAGTGTCTGATATTACTTTTGTAGTACATTTAGTGTCTCGAGTTATGCATGCCCCTCGTACTACTCATCTTCTTGCAGTCAAGCGTATTTTGATATACTTGTAGAGCACTCGTGATCATGGTCTCTGGCTTCAAGCTTCGGCTACACCGACATGTGTGTTAGCATACTCTGATGCAGATTGGGCAGGCTGTCCAGATAGCTCTCGTTCTACTACTGGATTTGCTATCTTCTTGGGTCCCAATCTGGTTTCTTGGAAGTCCAAGAAACAGTCGACAATGTCCAAGTCCTCCACTAAGGCCGAATACAGAGTTATTGCCTATACAATTTGGGATGCACTGCATATTCGGTCCATACTTTTTGAGCTTGGATTTCCCATCACGGTACCTGTTAATTTACTGTGTGATAATATCTTCGCTTCCTACTTGATTGCTAATCATGTTCAACATGCTCGGAGCAATCACATTCAGATTGATTATCACTTTGTTCGAGAGAGAGTTGCTCATGGTGATTTACTGGTGCAGTATGTTCCTACTCATCTATAGCTAACAGATATTTTTACCAAGAGTCTTCCTAGTCAACGTTTTCATTTTTTAAAGGACAACTTGCGCATTGTATCTCCCGCACAGTTTGAGGGTGTTTAATAGACTAGGGTTATTTATGTATTTTTAACATTACTATCTTATTATAAATATACCTGCCAATGTTCTAAAAGGCGTTAGGCGCTAATCGGGCGCCAACCCAGTGCCTAGCACCTAGATGGCTAGGTGGGCGTCTAGTCGGGTACATATAAATTGCATTTTTGTGTGTATATAATACATGTACACACATTAACAAATTAAACATGAATGGTAGAATTATCACATGTAATCATACGTAGTACTCCTTCTGTCCCATTTTATAAGATATCTTTACTATTCACTTGGTCAACACAAATCACTCTTAATCTCTTACTTTATATATCAAAATTTTATGACATTTGAATTATTTTTGCAGGTTTTGTAGCGGTTTTAATTTAGTTTCTGAATATGTAATTTTTTCCTAAAAATA